TTGACTTTACTGATAGACTTATCACTTCAATCTATTCATTCACCAACATAAACACAAACCAGAAATATACTACTTGCAACCACATTACAAGAACATTTTTACTCCATCAAACTCCTTCTGATTATATATTTTAAATGTCTCACTTTGTTGTTGCGATGATTAATGTTGTATTTTACTAACTAAAACAGGAGTCAAGCAAGGCCCATTATATCAAGTTAAAAGGGTCAAAGTCTGTAAGAAAAAAAGTCTCTATCATATATTGATCATTACCTAAGGAAATCAATTTCCTATAATGAGGTGCTTGGAAACAGAGAAGACATATCTTGTTTTTTGCCACTCTCCAAGGCCCATATTAAATATTAATATAACTGTGATATACTAACATCTTAGCACAATTGGAGGGAGGCTAGAACAACTCAAAGAAATTAATTCCAGAAAGTAGTCATGCCTGAAAACATTTTATATATAGCACTAGAATATACAAATATGTCATACAAAATGTTATACACCCCCATATATATATATATTAGCTTAAAAGCCACCCTATCAGGCAGCATTTAAGTTAGCTACTGCAGAGGGATCTTGATTGGGCCTTTGCCCAACAATGGCACTTCATTCATTAACTACATATTAAATTTTATTAAACTTGAACAATATTTTTCAAACAACAGTTTTCATCAAAATTATGATATGATTTGTCTATTTGGAACTTATTGAAATAAATAAACAACATTTTTGGTTGTCCCAATTGGGGTCAGTAAAAATAGCTTGTATTCATTCCCAACGCTTGAACAACCAACATAGAGCTGGCCATGAGAAAAGCAGGGTTCCATCAGATGAAGTCCAGTTACTGTCAATAATTGTCTTTGGGGCGTATTGATTGACATTGCATAGCTGAAGACTGAAAACTTTTGAAGTCAAAAGGAAAATCTGGAAAAATTAAAACTCTTTCCTGGACAAGTAAAGACTTCTGCTTCCAGGAAATGAAGAAGCATCTTCTTGACAATTAACGTTGTTCCATTAGAAAGCTTTGGAGGATCCAGATTTATCAATCGCATAACTGGCACATTTTCTTTTAGTTTCAGCTTGTGTGATGGCATTGCAGGAGGATTCAATGAATTCATGAGCGCTTTTGAAAAATTCACTGCCTACTCTTATTTAATATTTGGATAATCAAGTCTTGGATACTTGAGACTGAAACTCCACAACCATTTGGGAGTGTAATATTTCTATTTTGATAGTTCCATTGTCTAGCTGCAACAGCAAATCTCCCTGCTTCAATGTCATCTGTGATTCTAACTCTCATGTTTGTTTTCAGGCTGAGTCTTTGAACATGACTCCAGATGTAATAATTTTTCAGAGTTGTGTCCTTTTAATTGAAAAAGTGTGACACACACAGACATTTCCACATTTATTATATAGAATATAGGTAAAGAAGGTAAGATCATTGAAAGTTAGAGAGTTGAAAAAGTGTGACACAGACATTTTTGCATTTATTATATATATATATATATATATAATTCTTTCAAAGATGTTTGGTTGAATAATATTGACAAATTCTGTCTCTCAAATTTTTTTTATTAAACTTTTCAAATATATATATATATATTAAAAATTCAGTTTGGCAGTTGTAATTAACATCACAATTAAGTGACTTGAAATTGGTTACAGCAAGCTGGAGAATACACATTTTCATAAAAAAAACTAAACATGCAATTCTTGATAACAACTGTAGTAACAGTTGAAAGTACTTGCATTCAAAAAAATGAACTTTGAAAAGTTGGCCAATTTTAATTCTGACAGACAACAACTTAGTCAGAAGTTGAAAAAACTTAATAAAAAGTTGGACAGAGAGACCTTGTTGATGTTGTGTAATAAAACGTGTTTAAAAGAATTCTTTCTGCTTAAATACATCTTATATATGTGTGTATATATATATCATAATTTGCACCATACAGAGAAATTGAAAACATTTATTAAAAAAGCAAGCAGTATGTGAAAGAATGAATATAAAGAAAGTCTTACTTGTCTCTAGGAGCAACGTGGGCATCCTGCGTGATATAATTTTTATGTCTCTTATTTAGGATGCATGGCATTCATTCTTTTGCCTAGCCACTGCTGGTTACTACATCTGTTTCCCTTGAAGTCTAAGCAAAAATGGAATTCTTGCATTTGTTTCAGGTGTGGGCTAAGCACTCACTGACTATCGTCATCTATGGACTGACTTGTGGCTCTTAAGGCTCCTCAAGTCATTAATATATTTATCGTGTAAAAAGGGAGATAATTGCATCCTTAGACATTACTTTGGCATGGAGAATTAATAAAAGGAAGACTTTTTACAGGCAACAAGACAATAATTACTGTTTAAATATTGGATAATTTTAAATTCAGAATAAATTAAACAAGAAGATGCTAAAGATTGTTGCTCGGATTCACTTTCTCAAATATAACTGATATTTTTTAAAAACCATCTTGGTCAGGTCAAGAATTTTTCAGGAATCCTGTATTTTTCTATTTTCCAAAGCATTTTTCATTACTACTACTAATAATGTTATTATTATTTTGTATTTCTCCGGGTTTTTTTTTAGATTTTACATTTACTATTTCCACATTAATAATCTTTGAAAAAAAGTTTGAAAGAAAATGAAAATTCAGCACAAACTTATACCCACACCTCGTCTGACCTTGCCATTGACCCAGCTTTGTAAATTTTGGTCATTGTGAAATGTAAATAATAAACTTTAAACTAAAAACTTAAGTGATAAATAAGAAAGAATGAATTCAACTGAATTCTATTTTTTTGTTACTTTGCATGAAAATAAATTAATTTTTTAAAATTATTTTTGTTTAAAAAATAATTTTTGTTAATGATTTAAATTTAAAAAAATTAGAGTATTTCCCTAACCTGGGTTTAATTTTTGAAGTTATTTTTTTAACTTAACAATAAATCAAACAAAACAAATCGGTTAGTGACATTTGAATGAACCTCTGTCGCTGTTAGTGTAATGACAGTGGCACGTACCGTACGTATTTGTATATACAACAATTTTACAAACATCTGAGTTTTTAACGGTGTTACTGTTGTCAGGCGTTGAAAAAAAAAAACCCATGGGCAAAGTCCGTAGTAAAAATTTAAGTTTAATTTATGTTCTGTAAATTAAAAGTTAAATAACAGTGTAACTGTAACACTTTACAGCGCAGAAATACTAGGAAAATTTGTTTGGGAGTAAGAGTAAAACAAATCTCATGTTTTTTTAAAAACACTTTTAAAAAGTTTTCTGTTTTTGTTATTTGATTTTTTTCTCGATATTCTTCGTTTATTAAAAAATAAAAATAGTAGTACTTATAAAATAAAAATAACGTTTTCTAATGTTACGAATTAGCTGAAACTTACGACAAAAAAAAAAAAAAAAAATTATGAAATGGCCCCAAAAATTAAAAAGTTTAAAACTAAAACTAAAAGATAAATCAAAGTGGAAACTGTCTGCTTAAAAAAGTCTGTTCGTGATTTAAATCTTTTCCCGCTCCTGATCCGTACTTACGATGAATTGGTTTTGAGACCAAACACACACTTGTTTAAAAAATGCTGAATGAAATGTCGTTAATTACATTTTCGCGGTAAAATAGTGGTCTTTTATCACACGTTTTACTACAACGAAACATGAAATGATTACTAGAGCATACTTATTTTTATAATTTATTAAACAAAATTTAAAACTTATTTTCTTTAGCAAATATACGATAAAATAAAAAAATGTCTTTCAAGCCGCTCCATGTCCAAATTTAAATGAATGTTTATTTATTTTTTTCATTTTTCAATCAAAACTGACAATTCTACTTGTTTTATCAGAAATCTAGTGTCGAACTTCGTCAGTAATTAAAAAGTAAAACAAACAAATGAATAGCAAAATAAAATAGAACTAAAAATAAAGATAAGCGAATTTGAATTGCATTAGTGAAAAAAAAAAACAACAACAAACAAACTAAAAAAAAAACAAACAAAAAAGAAAAACAAGTGAGAGGGAGGTTTTGAAAGAAAGAATTGTGATGAAAATAATATGACAATTCATCTGTTTGGGATGATGAAGTTGAAGTAATAAGGGCTGTGTAAAAAAAAAAAGATAGTCGTTAAAAAAGAAAAAGGAAAAAAAACTACAATGATTGTGTCGAAAACAAATAGGCTCCGCTAACTGGAACGGTTCAGTTCGGTGTAAACTGTAAAGATTGGATAATATAATAATGAGTATAATATGAGAAATTGAGGAGATAAGGGCGAAAGAAAGGCAAAGGTATAAAAGCTGAAAGGCAAAAAGTTCAAGGAAAAAAAGAAAGAGGGCTGCGGGTGAAAGAAGAGGAAAAAGTCAATCAAAAGAGGGACAAGGTGGGTGAAAAGAAATTAGAGGGGGAGTACAGGGTAGGAGAAAATTAAGGGTTTAGGCTTTCCTGAGTGAATTGGGGAAAATACTGTGTGGAGGGGAAAAAGCGAATAATACTCGGATGAAACAATAATGCTGAGAAGAAAGAGAGATAAGCGAAAAAAAGATCCAATAAAAAAAGTAAAAATTTTAAAAATAAGGATAGTGAAAAAGAAAATAAATTAGAAGGCAAAAATAAAATATAAAAAACGAAAAGTTTAAAAAGTGGTTTAAGAGCCCAAGGAAGAGAGTGGTTGAATTTTAGAAGGTAAAAAAAGTGAGTTTCGGTTTGAAAATAGAGACAAAAACGGCAAGTACTTGCTGAAAGGAAGAGATAAAAAGGAAACATTTGAGTGGGACTAGAAAGATTAGTTAGTGAGTAAAAATAGAGAGGGTCAATGTAGAGAGAGAGTGGGTGAAGATTAAATAAAGATATAAACTGAGAAAGAAAAATAGAGATCCTGTAAAGGTATCGCGAGTAGATATAACGTGAGAAAAGCTGTTGAATAAGAAGGGGAGGAGAGTGGCGAAGCAAAGTGGGAGGTAGCAGGCGGGCAGAAGGAGTGGGAGGTTAGAGAGGCCAAGATGGCGTCGAATCGTCGTCCCCAGCTTCCGAGTAATTTAGCTTCGTCTTCCACAGTGACCGTCGATCCAGGCCGGGAATTATTCGAAGCCTGCCGAAATGGAGATTTGGCTAAGGTCAAGAAGCTGGTCAACGCACATAATGTTAACGCCAAGGATACGTCTGGAAGGAAATCGTCGCCGCTTCATTTTGCAGCAGGTAAGAAAGAGGAGAAGCCATCAGCGTCAACCGTTGTTACTTCAAAAAAAAAAAAGAAAGAAAAGGGGGAAAATTCAGGCCCATGATTTCTTTATTCATTTAAAGTTCTCCTCCCCCCTTCATTTTATTGTTTTTATTACTAAGTAAACAGTTTCTTTACATACAGTTCTTTTTCTTTTTTTCATGACGTAAGCTAAAGGTTCACGAAGGTTCGATACATTTGTAAACCTCTCTAAAGCTTTTTTTTTTTTTTTAGTTTTAAAAATTAGTCTCTAATCTTGAGTACATGAACGTGGCTCAAAAATGGGTTATCAGTTTCTCATGCTCGGTTTATAATAAACTGAACCCTCATTTTTGAACCACTGTTTATATCTTGTGTTGGCATCTTTTTAAAATTTAGTTTCCTGTTTTGTGTATCTGTTTACATAATTTAATGTTTTTGATTTCATGGGCAATCCTAATGTGAAAATCCGGTTTAAATAAATCCTTGCATCTAAGGCTCTTTTTGTTTTGTTATTTCCACACTTATTTATATTTTTACTGTTGCCATTGGGTTTGGTTTTATTTTGTGATTTTCTTTTTCATCATAAAAGTGACAATGACGGTTAGCGTTGCTACTCGTCTGTGCAGTTTCAATCCCTGATCGAATCCATTTAAAAACAATTGTAACATTAAATCTCAAAACTAAAAAAATATGAAACAAAATAAATTTATTTTTTATTTGTTTTGATTCTAGTTACAAATGTAAACTCAACTTAAACTGTTTTACTTTTGGTATGACGACGTAATTTAAGCAGTTAAACTTCCTACTAGTTTTTTTGGGGGGTGGTAAAAAAAATTGCCGAGGTCATTAACATTTGAAAATAAAAAAAAATTATTTTAAAAACGTCTATTTAATGTGTTATTTTTTTTTCTTTCTGCTAAAATAATGTTTTAAAGAATTTGAGAATTTTTTAACGTTTATTAAGCTCTAAAAAGCTTTTTAATGAAATTATGAAATGTAACTCTCATGTAATGTAAATAAATATAAATAAGAGATAAACCTCGAAAGGTGTATTATTTTTTTTATTTGTTCTTGTAGTTTTGTTTAAGTATTATTCACTGTTCATTCTCTGAAAAATGAAACTATAAAAAATAATAATAAAAATGGTATGTTTTGAGTTGTCTTCCCAAACTTCCAAGATTTTCCAACTTGGAAAATAAATGTTTTCATCTTGAACGTTAGTGCTCTTATTCTTACTATACTTTTTAATTCTGTAATTATTTAAAAGATCTGTATTATTATTATTATTATTATCCATAAGATGAATTCTTAACATTTATTTTTCCAGCCCCACAAATTAATTTTTCTTATTTTGAAAGATTTTTTTTCTTGTAATGACAATAAAAACAGGAAAAATTAAATTTTTTTTTTTTTTTTTTTTTTTTGCACTTCAGTTGATGAATCTTATTCTTATCGATGGAAGAAAATGATTTGGATTGGATTATTATACCATATTTATCCTTTACACTAATATTGAATAAAAAAAAAAGTTAAAAGTTTTACTTTTAAAACTATATTTTTTTGGCTTATAAAAAATTTAATTTATTATTTATATAATTTTAATTAAAATCTGTCAAATTAGTCAAAAAAACTCAAACAAAATCCTTAATTTTGTTTAGACCTGTTTATTCGGTAACTATTCGTTCATTATTTTTGTAAAGAGTTTCCGCATCATTTTTTCAGAATTCATTAGTATTCAAGTTTTACTGGCCAAAACCAAAATATTGGCAAAGATAAAAAAAGCGTTAATTTTAAAATAGTTAAGAATAATTGTTTAATTAAATTTAAATGCTGACGATTTTTCTAATTTTTTTTTTTTTTTTTTTTTTTTTTTTGCAAACACACACACACATTTTCATTATGTTGATTTCTAATGTGAATATTAATGATTTTCAATTTTCATCCAAATTTGAGATTACAAGTACACAAAAAACCAGAGGATGCTGTTTTTTTTTTCCTGTAGTTTTATCAGGTCTTTGTTGTACTCTTTGAACAACCGAAATATTTTAGTTTTTGATTTTGAGACCTGTAGGTAGATATCATTGTCTTAGTAAAGATTGAAAGTTAAGTCATAACTGTTGCTACAACTTGTAGGAAGTTGACATTGATTTGACTTAAAAATGTCTCAATGTTTCAATCAGTTTTTAAAATGTTTCAGTTTTGATTACAGTATTTTAACTAATGTTTTTGGCATTAATTCTTTTACTCATTCAGTATTCTTCAATGAAATTTGAATGAGGTCCTTTATGGTCACTTTGGGTTTTGATAATAACATTGGTTCATGTTGAAAAAAATGAATTTCATTGTTTTGATGAACAATAGTGGTGGCCAAAGTTAAGAAAAATATTGAGAGGGTTAAAGAATTCTGTTGAAAGCTTTCAAAGTCTTTTAAGGTTCCCAAAAGCAACTTGCAAAAGACTGGGAGCACATAGGCTAAGAAGATTTAATTGAAATTCTAATAATTCCTGTTTTTTTTTGTTTTTTTTAATGAATGTAATTGCAATAGAAATCCATCATGATGTGTATTTGTTAAAAAAAATGTGCTGAGAACAAGCCCCAAATACTTTGGGGCAATTGTCAATGTATTATTGATTTATTAAGCAAACCTAATGTACACTTATCAAAATCTATTTGTATTTTAGAATAAAGAAAAGCTTTAAAAATTAAAATCTAATTGGAAACTGTTATTTACATCATGGATGTTTGTATAACATGACAGTTAATGGTGTGGAATTGGCAAGCTGAGTTCAAATTCTGGCTTAGTTTGTTGCATTCATTTTCACATCAATGTCCTTGGGAAAGGTGTGAATCCATCTCTTCTCTCTCCCAGTTATGGGTTAAATAGCAGGGTAAATTGGTCTTTAGTCTTGGATTGCAGCCAATCTAGGAGGACAACTTTGAATATGAAACTATAGAAGGCACTGAAAAACTACTCCACTATATTACCAAAGAAATCCATGGCAATTTACAGATAATAAAGAAAGGAATTTATGGAGAGTCATGATTTCCTTCTTCCTGAAATGACCTGGCATTAAAACAAAAAACTATTACATCAAGGATATTGCTTCATATACTGATAAATCTGAAAAATTCTTTTGTGAGATTTAGTTGGGGTTAGTTCAGATTAGGCAACGTGTTATGTCGGAGAAGATGTATATTTAAAACTTAGATCATTTGCAAGATATGAATGTTTTAATTAAAATATAATTTCTATGAAAATGTTTTGTTTTGTGTATGCTGTCAATTTTAAGTAAGCAACTATTGTTCATCTAAATCTCAAAACAAAGATTACTTAGATTATTGTAATTTACTAAGTGTAGCTTAGATGTGAAAAAGCCATAAGTGTTAGGCTCAAACTCCTTACTCAGTTATAACTGATCTAATGAGATGTGTTGAACCACTCATTATTTATATTATTTACAGTTGGATTAATATCTGTTATCACAACATTTTGGCCTTTGTTCCCCACTGTCTTCTTCAGGTGTTTATTGATCTAGTTAACCTTCATAGTAATTGCAAATTCAATCTTTGGGATGGTGAATAGTGGAATGAGAACAATCTACCCTTGTAGTTTAAATAAAAGAATCAGTTAGAATTTCCCTGAAGGTTACCCAGATTAACAGAAACCTAAAAGTGGCCAGAAGGTATCATGGCTGAAACATTTTGATAATTACAAGGATGAGGAAATCTTAAAGTTTGCTGATTCAGTTTTAACATTTGCAATTCAAATGTTTTCTCCTCTGATCAAATATTACTCATCTGTTATAGTTCTTTCGTATTGACACCTTTTGATTTCCTCATTTACAAGCATAGAACAATTTTTCATTCCTCTTTTTGTTTTATGCAATGTACAAATTTTATTAGTACATTTTGTTTGCTGTCATGTGGTATGTTTCTTCAATAAAATTGTTGAATTTCATTGACAAGTTTGATCTTGTTTATTGAAGCGTGTCTTACAAATGGTGATAATAGTTTTTAAATTAACTTACTGTTTTTGCTGAGATGATAGAAGTTACTTCATTAACAAGGATACCTTTTTGCCATTTGGAGAGAACATTGCAAAGAATATTTCATAATTTGATACAAATGTAAATCACTTCTTGAATTTAAGATTTAGTTCAAAATGAAATGTTATCAACTTTAATCCAAACTCTGTATGAAATTTTCTCTCAACGGAAGCTTTTGAGATTACATGCTCTTTTCTCAGAATAATAAAGGCCTGAAATTGTTTTACTAATTTTATTCACTAGTGTTTTATTTGGAGGTTATTTCCTCGTATGCTTTGTTGGGCATTCTGAAGGAGTGTTGTCTTATTTTTCTCTCTACAGCTTTAATTATTTGTAATTAAATCTCCTGGCATTAGCTATCAATTGATCTTCATTTACCAAGAAACAATTTAGCAGTGATTCACTGTCCCCAGCCAAGGATTTTTCTATTCAAATACACAATGGAATGCATTTTGAAAAGATGTGCTTTTATTTTGGGATAAAAATATAAATGACATTTTATTAAATTGTCATTATTTGAAGCATACATTCATTACCTAGCATCACACTATCATTGTGTTAATTATGTATGGTTTGGTCAGAGGTCTTATAAAGTACAACAGGAGTGTGTTATTAATTTCCAAAATAGTTAAATATGTCTTCATAAAAAAATTATATCAACATAGCATTATTAAAAGTTTGATGACCTGTAAAAGTCTTTAAAAAGAAAATCATTGGTTTTAAAAAAAAATTAAAAATATATTTTAATTAAAATGAGCATTCTCATCTGAAAGTCTGGATTTTTTTCTTTATAATGTAGTTTTATTTTATTTTTTTAAATTTTTTTTTCACATGTGGTTTGTGTGTTTTTTGTTTTTAGGATTTTCCTCATTTAGTTGGCAATTTGAAAGCTATTTTGGTTGTCTAGAATATTAAAGCATCATGTTTATTGATAATAATAAAGTACTTAT